ATTCTCCCTTTTCTGCTGTGGGTTCTGAGTCAACAGTCCTGTGTGTGTTGGGGAAGGCAAGAGGGATGACCCAACCAAGAGTGTCATGATGGCTGCTTTGTAAGCTTTGTTTTCAGCTCAATCTGTACTATCTCATTCACTGCCACCATTTAGGGACAAAAGGAGGCTATGCATCCCACTTAGGAAGCCCTCTAATCTCTGGTTCTGCAGACCAGCTTTGGTAGATAAGATGAATACTGTCATGAATGGACCTTCTGCTCCCTGGAGAACACACATTTGTATCAGTCATTGTCAGTCAGAGAGAAATCTGACAGCAGATCACTGCGGATGTGGCCACCGTGGTAGAGAAGCAAGAATTAGGCAGCTTACAGGTCTCCAGCTTATTGCCCTGGCCCACCCCCCGGGCCACACCACACAGAGGACTGCTCCTGTGTCAACAACAGTCAAGATGAAGGTTTGTTACACAATAAGCCAAAGCATTATTTCATCTCTTCTGTCAATGAGGTCTCATTTGCCATCTGTGCCCAGAGAGACCACCGTTGTTTTGTTTGTTTCTTCATTACCTCATCATATTCAAAGTGAAAATGCTTTGTTGTAACTCAGCAATACTTGTATTTATCTTGGGAAAGTGTGTCAATATTTTGCCTCTGGCACTCCTTTTCTACTCTAGAAAGGGTTGCAGATTTCACTTGTTTATAAAATGTGTAAAGACCAGTGAAGACGGCACCCATCCTACTTTGGAAGTAGAATGAGATGTAGTTCTCTTGAGTATCTTAGAAGGCGATCTTGCAAAAATGATCATGTTTTGCACGAGGTCAAAATCCTGGCAGCCTGCGACTTTATGTGACAGTTGGCTGGAAGTGTACTGGAATGAGGTTGGGGATCTGTGGAGCTGGCTTTTACTCAAGACATTTTATAAGATAAATCACTGCTTAAAATGTGCTGGTTAAGATGATACATGTGATGTGCTTTTGAACTGAGAAGCCCAAGAAGGAGACTGGGACGTGGATAACTATATTACATTTGTTTTTATACTTTTCAATTCTATCACTAACAAATCCATTCTAGCTCATGGTGACCCCTCCCAGTTGGATTTTGGAGGCTATTCATGGGAAGAGTTTGCGCAACTCTCTTTCATGGAATAGCTGGTGACTTTGAACTTGTGTCTTTTCAGTGAACAGACCAACATGTAATTTACACACTGTGCCACCAAGGCTCCTTAATACTTGCTAAGTAAGATGAAATGGATTTGTTCTTTCTCTCCCAGAAAGAAAGCCTTCTCATGTATCTTTGCCCACTTTTGTTCCCTTTCCAGCACCATCGTCCATTGCTTTGGTCCAGGCTAAGGAAGTTACAAGATACAGTGTTGCATTGGCTTGGCTGGAACCAGATAGACCCAATGGTGTGATCTTGGAGTATGAAGTCAAATACTATGAGAAGGTATTTCCTGGTTGAGCAAAATCTTTCCTCTCTCCCTTTCTTTCTTCTCTGTTTAGGTTTGTCTGGTTAAAAATCCTAGTTCTCAAATAAAAATATTAGAACACCAGTGAATTCCAACACACCTGTTTACATCCCAATGAAATAAAATCCATTTATGAATTTTATGGGTTAAGCAAATCTTTTGAAAAGTAGGAAAAACCTATTGCATTCAAATGTAGCATATATATATATATAATTTCTTTTTTTGAAATGAAATAACTTGGAAGTTCTAATCTATAAACCTCCTATCAGAGAAAATGACTCATAACCACTGCAATAATTATCTGTTTCAGTAGATCAGATCTATTCTCATTGAAGGTGTGGGTTTTGATGACTTTTAATAGAAAATCAGGAAAGGCAAATTACATTCTTCAGCTTCTTGAAGTGGCAGAGTTATTTTACAAATAACTTGTCTCTCTTAAAGGACAGAAATCTGAAGAGAGCTATTTGCATCGGGTTTGTCTAGATAGTGAACAATCGCCTTCTCTGTCTTTCAAGAAGATAATCACGTATTGCCTTCCTCATTAAAAGCATAAAAGGGGCAGAACTTTTTTTTTCTCTTTCAAACTAGATTACAACACATTTGACATTATTGAGACAGGAGATAGAAAAAGACAAGGACTTTCTGACAGTTCTTTCTCTTAAACCGATGGGGGGGGGGGAGGTGGAATGAGAAAAAAATTGCCAAAGCTGTGTGGCAATGTTCTTTTCAGAAAAAGATTATGAGTAAAGAGTTGGTGATGTGGTCAGTGGCAGCAGAAACGTACTCGAGAGTCTCAGATCCTTGGGTGTCTCAAGATGTAACAATAGAATGTATAGCGTTGAAGAGGACGTGAGGTTGAAAGAGTTGTATCATCCACATTGACCTTGACCTTCTGAGTTAGATCCTCCAATACCACACCATGATTGATGAGAGGATTCCTGTTCGCCTCCTTTCCCAATTTGTTATGTAGGATCAGAATGAACGGAGCTATCGGATTGTCCGGACAGCGGCCAGGAACACGGACATCAAAGGCCTGAACCCTCTAACGTCTTATGTTTTCCACGTCCGTGCCCGGACTGCAGCTGGCTATGGGGACTTCAGTGAGCCTCTGGAGGTCACAACCAATACAGGTAATGCCCATTCCTTCTGCAGCTCTTCTTACAAGACAGAGCAAAAAACCCCTTACAGAGAACTGGGAGACCCTGTGACAATACTGGCCATTCAGACCTTTTTTTTTTTCTTTTTTTTTTCTATAATTATATTTTATTAATTTTCATAAACATTTACAGAGGTTTTGGGCTGCCACTCATTCATTGTTGCACTATTCTCTCTACCCTCCTCCCAGTTTGTTCTTGTCCAAATGCCACAGTGCAGACCTTTTGTTGAAATGAACATTCCTCACAGTAGCATAGCCAGTGTCTGCAACTTAGAAAATGCCTCACTATTTAGGGAAGAGATTTTTCACAGCAGTATCAGACCTGTCTTTGCATGTGAATGAAAAAAATGCTGTCTAATGTTCTCCTGAGTTAAGCTTTCTGTAAACCATGAAAAATGGGATTACTAAACTGACTAATTGAGGGTTGCCTAGCCACCCTGCATTATGATGAAGCGTTTTCTTCCTGTGAAGATTAAAAGAATAAGCTGTACATTTTTCCCCCTGCTAGGAATCTGTCTAAATCAAGTCATATAATTGTTTTGCTATTTTAGTTTCTTTTTTGTTTTGGTTTGCTTTCTTAAAAATCCCTTTGTATAAATATATAAAATCTTTCCACATTTTTAAGTTGAAGCTATTGGTTGATTAAGTAAAATATACATAGATAAATGATAGGTAGGTAGGTAGAAAGATAGATAGACAGATAGAGATAGATGATAGATAGATAGATAGATAGATAGATAGATAGATAGATAGATACAGTAACAAAATACTTCCTCCCCAACAAGATAGAATGACATAGGGACTGTAGCAGTGGTCTCAAGTGTGTTAAGAGATGATGAGGACGGCACAGGATAGGACAGGATTCAGGTTTCTTGTTCATAGGGTCATCATGCGTTGTACTTGATAGTACCTAGCAACAGCCACATGGATGTGTAAGATATGAGCTATTCCCGCCTCCATGCCAAAAGGGCAAAATTGGGTCTGATATTTTTTAATATGTTGTTTTTATGTGCCATCAACTTGCCTGTGACTCACAGTGACTCTATGAACAACAGCCCTGAACTCTGCTCTATTCTGAGCCAACCTTATTGTCTATGACACACCAAACCCAATTTCCCCAGTCACTGAGTCAATCCATCTTGCCCTAGAATACCAAATTCCTAATTCATAGTGTTGAAAATTTATTAGGTAAAATAAAAATTTTGGAGAGCAGATTTTGAAAATGCCCTAGGATGGAATTCTAAAGAGAACAGACATGTTTCCTGGCTCTTTGGGGAAAAGGAAGTGGCTTTTGAACTACGAACGTGCAAATTTTTCATAAATGGTGTTTGCGTATAGAGGGAGAGCATTTCATGACAGCTTCTGGTTTTGAAATCTCAAGTCTCTTTCTCACCAAGGAATATGTCATCATGTAATAGGACAACACGTAAAGGTTAAGATTCCAGGATCAAAAAAGGAAAGAAAAAAAGGCAATGAATGACGATGTTGACCATTTTTAGTAAGAGGTGAGAGGAAGAAATCACTCTTCTTCTGACCGAGATTCCTCATTTAACTGGAAGAGGAATATCTTCCCTCATTAAGGGTGTCTTAGAAAATGTTGTTGAGGGCATACAAGAGGCTGAAGGAACTGGGCACATTTCCGGAACGTTAGCAGATGTGACCTCTGAGAAATTGTACCTGTCTAGACGTTGGCAGACTAAGGTCCACCTGATTCAGGCCATGGTCTTTGCAATCACTTGCTATATATCAGAGAGCTGGACAATGACCAGGGACGATAGAAGAAGAATCGATGCCTTTGGGGTATGGTGCTGGAGAAGGGTACTGAATATACCATGGACTGCTAGGAGAACAAACAGGTTCATCCTGGAAGAGGGTAGAATCAGGCAGCTCCTTGGAAGCTTCATCTGACATACTTTGGACATGTTGCAAGGAGGGACCAGTCCTTGGAGAGGGAAGTAATGCTTGGGAGGTTGGAAGGACAGTGTAGGAGAGGAAGATCCTTGATGAGTTGGATTGATTCTGTCACTGGGATAATGAAGGTAGGTGTGTCAGAGAAAGTGAGATTGGCAAAGGATAGAGCAGGGTTTAGGGCCGATGTGCATAGGGTCTCTATGAGTCTCAGGTGACTCGATGGCACACAACAGCAACAACAGCAGACCTCAAGTGATCCTCTCATCCCTCTTGTTCCCAGTGCCTTCCCGGATTATCGGCGATGGAGCCAACTCCACGGTGCTCCTGGTCTCAGTGTCCGGCAGTGTGGTGCTGGTGGTTATCCTCATCGCAGCCTTTGTCATCAGCAGGAGGTAAGCACATGAGCCCTTCCTGGGCCTCCCCCTCCCTCTTTTTTTTTTTTTTTTTTTCCAATCCCCAAGGCGTTTTATTGTGCAAACTGGGATGAGGCAGAGGGGCTGTGCCTAGAAGAAGGTGTTGGGCCGCTTGGTGGTGAACCGTGGCTTGTGCTGGCGACGCAGGACCCGGTGGGGCAGTGGGAACTTGATCTTGGAGTCATGGAACTGCTTGACTGCAGGTCGGCGGCACTTGTTGGCTGCGATCTCCTCCACCTTCATGATCTGGATAGAGTGGGCCCTGGCACGATGCCGAGCGCCCATGTCGCGGTAGCACTGGGTGACAGCTCCTGCGGTGGTCAGGTCACGGTATTCCCGGTACATGTTGTGGGTCCCACTGCGGGAGTCGTAGCGCAGCCAGATGCCAAAGTTCTTCACACGCAAGGGGGTCTTCTCAAACACCTGTCCACAGTATACAATTTCCCCAGAAGACTTCTTCATCTTCTTCAGCTGTGACACAAAGTACCAGAAGCGGGACTTGGCAACAACATGATTGGGGGCAAAGATGCGCATGCGGTAAAGTGGTGGAGTCCGACACTTGGGGGTGGGCAGGCAGCGCCCCACCACTTTGTACTCACGAAGTGTTCCCGAAGCCTTCATTGCGACCTCTCTGCGCTCGCCACGACCCGAAAAAGGCCCCCCTCCCTCTTTTAGGAGCCAGCATTTTGTCTCACTCACACAAAGCTGGGGCTTTTGATTAGCATCTTAAACATTGCATTTGCATCACAAGCGCCTTCCTTGTCGCTTTGATCTTTCTGTTCCCTCCTGGGACTGCCTGGAGCACCTTGGTGGCAGCTCTCCCAGAGAAGGCCAGCTCAGTCCAAGCCAGGAAACCTAGCTGAAAAAGCTAGCCTAGGGGATTTGCCCAGAGACTCTAGTCTTCACGAGATATAAAGTGCTACATTGTCCTCTTGTAGCTCTGCTATTTGGTTGTGGCATTATTTAACCTCTTTGGAGGGTTTTTGTATCTTTTATAGAATAGGAATATTAGTATCTGCCTCACAGGGTCCCTGGCAGAAGAAGTTGGTAAATGATGTAGAGTATACAATATATAGCAAGTGCTTTTAACATGCTGTTCAGGGATAATAATAGGAACGAAAACAAATTTTAAAAAAACAAGCCAAGAAGCCCTGAATTCTCGTGACCTACTCTGTAGGGAGCTCTGGTGGCCTAGTGGTAAGAAACGTCACTGTAATCCCAGAGGCACTCAGTTCAAATCTGCCAACTGCTCTACAGGAGAAGCCTGGACAATCTCCTTTGTTGACTTGCTGTCTCTGAGAACCTGCTGGAGGGTTGGCTATGACTTGACAGTACACAACAACAACAAGAAGTCTGTAGGGAACTTGGAATCCACCCATGGCTCCTAGGGAGCTGGGCAATCTCCTCCTGCACTATTTACAACCTACACAAACCCAGGAGATGTTCAGCTACGAGGTGCTTCCGTCCAGAAGGCAGTGCATTCTTTCCCCCCTTTTTAAGGAACCCTGATGGTTTGAACTCACCTGCCACTCCTGGGCAGAAAGACATGGACGTTTACTTTCATAAAAACCAGTTCATGGGGCAGTTGAACTTTATCCTACAAGGTTGTGTGTCAGAACTGACTTGATGGCTGCAGGGTTTGGGTTTTAGAGGCTCATTTGCCCTCCGGGAAAGAGCATTTTCTTGTCTAGAGAAGATCCACCAAGTACACTGTGGGCATGGAGGTGCTCCTGACACTGAGTCAGAAACAGTAGGTACTTGACAAACTATCTGAACAGGAGAGAGGGAAGGAGTGGAAAGTGGATTCTAGTATACCTGATTTTCCTCCAGGAGGGCAGCTACCCTAAGGGGAGTAACTTCTTTATCCCATGTGTCCCCACCCTGGTCTTCTTTGTCTCCGGTGGGGGTGGATAATAATCTCATCTTTCTTGTCCATATCATTGTGTTTCCAGTCCGTGCCAATCTGCTGGAGTTTGCGGTAAAAATGAAGGCAGGATTTGGGGGTGCTAAAACAAACAGATATGTCTTGGAGAGGGTGCTCTTGGATATGTCTTGGTGCTGGAGTGTTCTTTGGAGGCAAGAATGCTGAGACTTCCTTCACCTTACATACTTCTGGCATGTTACTAGGAGGGACTATTCCTTGGAGAGGGACGTGATGCTGGGAAGGGGGAGGGTCGTCGAAGGAAAGGAAGACCCTGGACTAGATGGACTGACACGGTGACTGCTGCAGTGGGCTCTTGTGTATCAGGATAGAACAGGGTTCAGAGCTTTTTGTCATAGGGTCCCTATGAGTCATACTCGACTAACAAGAAGATGATTCTCTAAAATACATGCCTTTTCACATCACAGAAGAAAAAAAAAAGGGATTCTCAGAAAGACACAGTGACTTGCGCAGGTTCACAGAATTGCCAGAGTGACAAAGCTTCTGCTTTTGGGTCCCAGGCCAGTGTGTCTGCTGCCCGGTCCCCTCTCCTGCAGTCATCTCCCTGATGTCACCGGGAGGCCTCTGGCTGTTTCGGCAGGTCCCCGCAAGTCTTTGTGGTATGTCCTCATTAAGGTGGTGGCCATACCTCCGTCTTTGCCTGGAGGCTCCCAGTTGCCACATGTCTCTATGACTAGCATGTCCCCACCTTTTCTTCTCCACCATGCCTTGCTTTACAGAGACCAGTTATGATCCCTAACTGTAACTCACAGAATAAGTCCTCATTCTGTGTGGGTATCTGTCTACCTGTATGTTGGTATTCATTCTTTTTGGTGGAAAGTCTGTAACCAGGTGTGTTGGATGAGCTGTGAGTTCTGTGTTAAAAAAGTTAAAAATAACCTTATGGTTATTTAACCAGTGATGGTAATAGACATTTCCAACCACATGCATACGTACACATAAACATACCTCCTGTACGCTAACAGTTGCCATCAAGTTCACTCAGGTACGTGGTGACCCCATGTGTGCCAGAGTAGAATGGGGCTCAGTAAGCTCTCAGTGGCTGCTGTTACAGCAGTTCAGAACCAGGCCTTTCTTCCACGTTACTTTTGGATGGACTAGAACCTTCAGCGAGATGAATTCGGTTACATCACCCCAGAGCTCTGATTCCGCAGCTTATGCAGTAATATGGCATGGCCTTTGGAAATTTCAGTTGGACCTGAACACAATTTGAATTTCCAATGTTTATTCTTTCTCTGCCATTTGATATTAGAAGGCAATCAGGATGAAGTTGTGTCTGCGGGTACTCCTTGTGCAGCTACATATCCATCTGAGAGTGTGGCCTGTTGGTCTGGGGAGGATGTAACGATTAGATATTCTGTGTGCACAATGTTTACATTGATGAAGCACAACCTTAATGTAACAAAAGTGAAACATAACTGCTGATGAGCCAACTCCTAGCTGAGGCTCTAGCAGATTTTTGGAAGGCTGTACATTGCAATTAGGTGGAAGGAGTGGTCCATCTTTCTCCTGAGAAACCACTGCTGCATGCACACCACCAGAGAGGCTATGCCTCTGGGCGAGCGGCACAGTGCCCTACAGACTAGGCCACCAGAGCTTCCTATCAAACGATAAGGAAATTTAATATCTAAAAGTAGGAGAAATGAACCCCCACACACACTTCTCCAGGAGGGTCAGAGAAAGAAGAAGACCTCTATCCAACAAGATGGACTGGCCTAGTGATATCGTAATGATAGGTTAGAGCAGATGAGAGATCATGAGGATGGCCTCAGATCGTGCAAGGAGCAGGGCATCCGTTCATAGGGTGGCTGTGTGTCGTCATCAACTCAGCGGCACCTAACAACAACCACCTCCCCACAAAGTGTCTAGAACCCAGTGGTGTGTGATGCTAAGAGCCAGCGAGGAAGAAGAGGTTGCATCTTGTTTCTGGACTGTCTTTTGAATATGGGTTGCAGATGATTTGTTTCCTGGTGGTGCTACATCCTTTAGATTTACTTTTATTATTATTATTATTACTTCCCAATTGTAAGTGGCCCTAAATACAGCAGTCAAGTAGAGATAATTAGAAATAAGTCATCTTTTGAATGTTCTGCTTAAAACACTTGGCTCTGACCAAAAGCAAGGGAGAGGGAAAAAAACCACACATGAATATGTAACACAGGAAGACAAGTTTATTAAAAGCAGTGGCTATCGAAAAGTAGCGTCGTCAAGTTTGATGACTTCATTTCCTTTCTGCTTCTATTGATCACTTCACTATTTAAGACAGGATTGATAGCAGGATGCATTGGATTTTCAATTATGAGTCCCGCCTTAGAGAATTGAGCTTGTCACGGTACCCGGGGATGATTCCTGTCCCTTCTCCCCCATTAAAAAAAAATGTCACTTCCCAAGGCTGATAAACACTGCTTGGTGATTGGTCCTCAATGGATCACTTTTTAGAAAATGAAATGTCAACCCCATGCCCTCGTATTGATTGTTCTTTAGTGCCGGCCATAAAGCTGTCACGGGGAGCGGCGCCCGAGCCAGGTAGCTGACAAGCTGTGCAGAGGCTGGTGCACACTCAGCCAATTCTTCGCCCCACTCGGCTGTCTGCTCCCTTATCTTGGACAGGGAGTGTTTAAATGGAACAAGAAGGGGCGACAGGTAGTGGGGATCCAAGTCTCTCCCTGGCTTTTAGTGCGAGTACAAGTGGTAGGTGGTTGAATATATTTATGGCGAGTGCTGGTGGGTCCCAGCTCCCCGTGACCATGTGTCCCTCCGACGGCAGGAAGCGTTTCCCCATCATCCTGTGCCGTCTTCACACTTGTCAGCCTGCATGAGCCTATTTTGGTAGCCGTTCTGTGTTTTGAATACTTTCCAGTGTAAGAAGCTCCTCTTCCAGCGACCTACTTTAAATAACTGGCTACTTTCAAAGGCGCACTGCCACACCTTCCTGCCTTCCTTATCGACCTTGCTCTGCAAGCACTCCCGAAACCCATCCACTGTACATGGCAGGTCTCTCAAATACAGACGGTGTAGCTTCCAGCATCATAGCAACATGCAAGCCGCCACAGTGTGACAAGACTGACAGTCGAGGCGATGCTGGTTCCCCTGAAATAATCTTGCAGACTTGAGCCAGCAATCTTTTGGAAAGCAACAGATTAAACAACCTACTTGGCTAAATCTGAGTTCTGTCCTTGGCGGATGAGCTGCTCCGTATTCCTTCGAGCTGTAAAAAGTTGATGCCAGAATGGATACTAGAGGTAGCCCCCGTACGGGATGGGTCCCCTTGTACTGAATCCCGGGCTGCTGTTGACGTGTGAGACTTTTTCCCCCAAGAAAGAGATGGATAGGAACGCGTGTCGTATGAAACGTTTCCCTGTTCCAAGCCTATTTCAGTCCTTTTGATTACCTCACTGTGAAAGTCTGTTTAGTGCTAATTTGTCTTTCAAGAAAGAGGCAACAGCCACAAGGTTCACAGTTGGTAGCTTGCTAGATTCCACACACACACACACCCACCCCTTCCCAAACAATTGTTTCATTTATTTTATTGTATTTATTCTTAACTGTGTAAGCTTGAGCTCAGGGCAAGCTGGAGCAGAACAGTTTCCAATTTCTTCTGTGAGAAGACACATTCTTTTCTCTGGGCCAATTTGGACTCTCCAAGAAAGATTCAGGTTCCCAAATGTGTAAACTGTCATCTGTTTAAAAGGCCAAGATTATATAAAAG